GCAACCCTGGTAATTTTAAATGTCACAAATTTTAAATTAGTAAAATGTAGGAAGATTACTTTGATTAAAAAGTTTACTTTGGATTAAAGCAGAAACATTGTACGACATGGCGCTTAATAAGAAACCAATTCTCTCTAAAAATCTTTTGGAGATGAAATTTGTGAAAAAAACTAAAAAAAAATTGGAGAAAGAAGCGAAAATAGCAGAGGTGAAGTCAATGTATTCTAACGATGTTGGTTACAAGGTTCTCGGTGAATCAAAATTTTATTATGAAAAATGTTTTAATAATCTTGAAAACCTCAATGAGGGTAGAATGAGTTTTAATGGCATGAATCCGGAAATTGAAGCTTTAATGAAAGCTGATGAAGCTGAAAAAAAACTCAAGACTGATTTTAAACAGCCCGCGGATGTGTCTGATGTTAAGATGACTTCAAACTATAAAAGACACCGATTAGTTAAGCCGGATAAGTATAAGCAGAGAAAGTAGGCAACTTATTTTATCAAAAGGAAAACCAACAAATAAAAACATTTGTAAGTTAGACGTTATATATAGTAATTTTTGTAGTATATTTAATTGAAAGTAATGTTCAATAAAAGAAATAAATTTTCAGATTCTTCATATAACGTATTAAATCTATAACGGAACTCATTCCTACTTACTATGCGATCATAATCAACTGAAATGAAATCAAAATATTGAAACCTATTTAAAAACAAGAAGAGTGTAGAAAATGGATTCTATTTAACACTACTATAATAATGCAATTTTTAATTTTATTAAATTTTAGAAATATAAAATAAATTTTTTGTTAATCAGAAACATGAAATTTGTTGTATTAAAACAATCGTGTTTCAAAGAAAATAACGATCCCAATTCCATTATTTTTTGGTGTGAGGAAGTGGTATGCTTGCGCCCGACTCCCTAACATTAATATGTAGTGTACGAACTAAAACACCCCCTCTTCAGTGACACTTATTCCTTCTCGGAACCGCTTTCGCCTTACTTCGAGGAGAGTCTCTTATATTGGCATTTCAAGCCACGCTCTTATGATTAACTATCTGCGTCCAGACCACCACTTTCTTCCCAATTTCATTATTAGGTCCCAGTAATGCATAACCATAACCGGTTTTGATGGTATCATCTGATTCATATCTGGATCGAATAATATTTTTTATTTACTACAGATGTAGAGGAAACAGAAAAACCATATCATGAAATAACTGAACGTATTCTAATCTGAGGTGATCTTAATCCAATAAGAAAGTTTCAAGCGTACGTACAATGCAGAAGTATAACCCTAAATGAAAAAAAAAAGTAGTTACAAAAGAGGGACTTAGGAGGATTTGGTATTTAGTTCCTAACAAATCGCCCTCCTCAAAAATTTATATTAGTTTGCTGTTAGATCTTTTCTAAAGTAGTCAAATCAACAACTTGACTCTACCACCCCAAAAAAAACAAAAGAAATAACCTATCAAGCTAACAGGATAGTTTCAAGTACTTCGGAATTCTCTCACTTTTTTGTTTTATTCTTTAGTGATGGCAATAAAATGATAAATCATCAATAGTTATGTATCTGAAAAATATGTGTCTTTTGCTTAATATGGTTCCAATACAGTCTAGCAATTTTTTTAGCGACTGCGTTTAAATAATGCACGAAGAGTTTTCTTTTACTTATCTCAGAGTTCTTTAAGCTTTTTTGATTAATTTTTTTTAATGTTCTTCAGTCTTTATAAGCAATTATTAATCTGCATTTAAAATATTTAAAAGTTTGTATTTTGGCTCAAAATTCAAAAAACTACTGAATATATTCCAAACATATTGAAGCGAAACACTGACAATCTCAGAAACCGTTTTGATAATTATAGTATTTGACGATCCTTCAATACCGTTTCATAAATTATTTTGATGTTTCCTTCAGTAGCAAAAGCATTTGATAATTTCAGTATATTTAATATTACTGAGTCCACATGAACTTCATCTAGTCCAAATGTAATTAGCATAGGCATATTATTTTTGATCTATTAAATAATTTTTATGGTGAAACTAACCAATAATTGCAATATAAAGCTTTGCTTTTTTGCGATAGATGGAAAGCATCGAAAATCAAACCCGCTAAAACCATCCCTTAGGAATGATTATGGAAGATTGCAGCTGCATACTGCGAGTGTAACCCAATTCCAATAATGAAGGGCAGAGAGAAAAACAGATGAGCTTAGTATTTAGCAAGCTAAATTTATCAAAGTCAGAAAACATATTCGAGCAAACTTAAGAAGGATGGTGCTTATAAGCGAAGGAGGTGGGGTTGTTGCAGACTTACGGGGAGTCCAGCTTAAAAAAGCTTTGATTAAAAAATCGAGAAAATATTAGAAAATTCTCTATTACAGTCGAACCTTTCTATCATACAGATGAAGGTGATAATATAAGTTTTAAAAGATTTATATTTGTTTTGTTTGTTTTTCTTAGTAAAACGCGGATACTTTCTATTCAACATGTGATATACTATATATACTATATATTTTTACAGTTTCAATATATTTCAATATTTTGTTCAAAATTATTAGGATTTGAGCTAAAATCGTAAACGGAAAGTTAAGTGAAGAAATTCGGTGAAATTTGAAATAAATTTTTGAAATAAAATTCATTATGAAATACATGATTCGATCTGTCTAGAAAGACGTCGATTGAATCATCTTAATTAATTTGCGATACTTTTTTTGGACATTGTCGCCATTTGTGTTGACTTGACGTGGGTGCAACAATATCAGTTCCAAATTAAGTAAATGTGCGCCACAGCCACAGATGAAACTGGCTCGGCATAAGATTCACATGATAAGCTAATAATGCCAGGGAATGAGTTGCTAACGTTACGAATCCATTAAAAGATCCATATTGGGAAAATTTTTAATTTTTCTTATACGCAGAAAAACATTAGTTTCAAAGCGTGAGACAAAAAGCAAATAAAGTTCACCAAGAAAAAAATATAAATGGAAGATTAACAAAAAAAAAAAACGAAAACAATAAATAAATAAATTTTAAATTAAATTTTATTTTGCAATAAAAAATTTACTAAATAAATGTTTTTGCTTTCAATTGGGCAGACAATAAACGATAAATTCTTACAAATAAGGGCAGCCAAAATGGGTGTGGGCGCGGTCATAAACGACAAAAACAAAATTATTGCGGATGTGAATTAGATTATTTGTCTCAGTTTAGCAACAAATTTAGCTTTCTTCAATCGAAAAATTATGTAATTTAAAAAGAATAATTTATTTTCTACATATAAAAAATATTTGAAAGTTCTTTAAAAGCTATATGGAACCTTTTTGAATTAAGCAGAAAACAAAGTCTTAATGGAATAGGTATAAAATGGCAGTAGTGATATAAAAAACAATATATATAACACATTCAGTATGTAAATCCCATTTTTCATAGTGTAGGACACATACTAAAACAAAAGTCCTCATTAGAAATACAATTGAATCAATCAAATATTTTTAGAGCGGTAATCTTCGGGCGCGTACCACTTGAGTATGATAATACAGAAGACCGTAAGACGCGTACGCACTACGAAGATATGTGATAAAGTCATTTATAGTCCAATCTCCAAGTCACCTATCCGCAACTAGCAACAACATCAGCCAACCGCTAAGCAAACATCTGCAGGAACAGCTAGAATTATAACTTCAACGATTGCATCAAGCATACACCTGAAAAGTTCTACACCTGAAAAAGAAGACATTTTTCTTTAAGATAGGTAGAAAGCATAAACATTCCTACCTACAGAAAACGTTCTTCATCTGAAAATGAAGATATTTTTCTTTAAAATAGATAGAAAGCATCAAACTTTAAACTTGAAGCCACTACTTTCACATCTTAGAATAAAAAATGAACTGATTTCTGCCATTGCACTGTGAAGGTCCAATTACGGAACCCCATACCAACAAACACATAATAAACAGATATTAGAAAGTCAGAGCGCTTAGCATTTAAACAATAAGTCTATCGAAGCCAAAATCGTGAACGAGTGAGAGAGGAAAACGAGAAAATTATTCTAAGTAATAATAGATGACCTCAAGAAAACTCGGTTCGAGGGTTACTAAAGGATCTTACTATTAAATAGTAATGGATGACCAATATTAATATATATTGAATATTACTGTTAAGTGACAATAGATGACCAAGAGGAAATTTCATGACTACTTTAACAATGATTGTAGAGCGAGATTGCACCAAAGTTGCCAGCGAAGTCTCAATAAAAAAATCAGGGGACAGAATAGAGGTAACATGTATCTTGCATAAATTTTATCAAGCGGAAGATTATGACAAATTCTCATTACTTAAATGAAGTTTAAATGAACTCTGAGCTATTAATTCCCTCAGTAGAAAGATGGATAGCTTAACTTTATACCCAATAAGACTAGCTTACTTAATGAAGATCGTACTGGTACTGGTAATAATTACGATCACCTACAAAAAAATCGAATAATTCCTAAGATTGTATTAGATAAAAAATTAATAAAAATCGAATAGATTACCCGAACTCTAGACAATTCATTAAAATGTCTTTGAAAAATATTACACAAAATTAAAGGAAAAGAAAGCATCTAAGAAACGTATTAATTTAACATTTCTAAAGCTCTGTATTGCCAAACTGCTGTCTTAACCTTTCTTACACCACTGCTTTATTGTTGTTGTATCTCCTCATTGCAGTGAAGAGAGCCCAGTATGGTATGGGGTAAAATGAAGCTATAAGGACGCAAAAAGATTTGGGAGAATTTTATGATATAAATCTACTTGATACCAATTTTCAAGAACAATGACATTTAATTGGGATGAACCCACAATTCAATTGGACTCATATTTCCACAATTCTTTCAACAGATAATGTCGTAAAGACTAGATCAGTAACTCAAACTAAAGTTATACATAAATGGCGTTTATACAATGACTTTATTCTATTTAATTCTTAATCTTTGCTAAACTAAACAAAAAGATTTAAACAAATAAAATATTTTGCAATTTATTATGTAAATTGTTATATAAAAACATTTATTTTATTAACATAATTTTATTTAGATTAAAATCAAAATTGAAAAAATAATGCTTAACTAATTCAAACTACTTTTCACATGCTACTCCATAGTGGACTTCAAATACTTCATCGCATGAATTTACCCTTTTTCAACTGATCTCTATTGACTTGTTTGAATTTTCTTTGATTATTGTCTTCATTCATTTTCTTGTAGTACCCAAAACCACCACCACCGATTCGTTTTTCGGGACGATTACGATTTTTACTACTGTGAACTTTAAGATCTACCACCGGTGGTACTAAGAAACCAAAGCTCTTTGCCACAGTTTTCAAATCCAAAGTATTTATGTCAAATATAGTTTTCAATTGATGTGAATCATAGGCTCGCACGTAAGACTTGAATGCCTCCTTCGCTGACTGGTTCAAGTAATAATTTCTTGAGATGAGTTTTTCCAGCTGTAAAAACAATTTAATTAATATATTTCTATATGCTTTTATTTGTTTATTATAAATGTATAAGTGCTTATTTATTTCTAAAAATATTAACAAATTTTTGCAAACAGTGGAAATTACAGAGAAAGACAAATGATTTAAATCAACAAATATTGAAAAATAGGTATTCAATATTTAATAGGTAAAGTAAGTCAATATAAATAAAATCGTAAATAAATAGTAAAAACTAGTGCAAACTGTTGCCAGTAATTCGATTGCACTAAACAATATCCAATTTTTAAAGATATATTAGTTTATTATTTTTAATAATGAGATCCATTGGAATAATCATGAAGACAATTTCCTGAGCTAAGTCCATCAATTGATAAGTTCATATTAACAAACCTAACAATATCTCATGATTCAAAATACCAGACCTCAAACGTTTCAATGAAAGCTAAATCAAAGTACTGAACTGCTTTCTAGGCAATTGGAAGAAACAAACAGGTAAGCAGATGGATTAGTTCTCTTTTTGTAAGGTTATAGTGATTCAAATGAATTTAAAATATGTAGACTGAATAACCTGTTATGTTTATTGCTGATCCTAATGACCTGTTTGCACTGCTTTAAACCTTTTAAAACAGTTAATATTGAATATTTCTAAGTACTGATACAGTCTGACAAGTGTATATTGTTCGAGAAGGTTTAGTCCTAAGAAGAGGCTATACAAAATTCATTTTAGATCAATCTGTCTTAATTACATATTACTATAATATTGTAACTATATGATCTTGGTTACTACTTCAACGTATATTATTTATGAGATATATCAGGCAACAAAGTATATTAAACAATATGATTGTTGGATTATTATATTAACTATAAGCAAGTTGGTGTCAATAATGCTTTAGTCTTTTTAAAAATGTTTAAAATCATATTTTTATTCTACTAGCTTTATATTATTTAATATATTAGTGCTTTATATTATTCTAATCCTAATTGACTCATATTATTATTGTATTATTGCCCTAAAAGTATATCTATTGATATTCTATATGTACTACTTATTAATGTTTCATATGCTTTCGAATATAATTAAATCATGTTTAATTAGAAAAAATTATAAATCAGAATTAACTATACTGCACATTGCTTCCTACTATTATATACAAAATTTCTCAGCCTTCACAACATATTTTCTTTAAACAGTTAACCAAAATTCTTAGATTTTAAAATGCATAAAAATTTATCTCCAAAGTAAAAATAATAATACCTGCAGCTGAATATCAGCAATTTTATTCCAAGAAAATTCAAATTCATTAAGTGGCACTTTTGCAGCTTTCAAATAACGTAAAAATCCAAGCTCTTCAGGTCTCAACATTAATAATGCATGACCAGAACTACCAATACCTCTGGCAGTACGACCTACTCGATGTATGTACTCCTAAAAATAAATTTAATAGTAATTCTAATATAATACAAAATATATTATTTTATAGCAAAATATTTACCTTGGGATCATCTGGGGGATCGTATTGTACAATCCAATCTACTTGTGGAATGTCAAGACCACGAGCAGCTACATCAGTGCACAGTAAAGTACCCTCTGCAGCATTGCAAAATTGAAAGAATGTGGTCGTGCGTTTTGTTTGCTTTTGTTTACCCTAAACAAAAAGAGTAGAGAAGAAATTTAATATAAATATAAAGATGTGTAAGATAACCGATATTTATATAAAATATATATAAACAAATATATATATAAAAGTATATATAAAAAAATATATAAAAATATATATAAAAATATATATAAAAATATATATAACAATATACATAACAATATATATAAAAATATACATAAAAATGTATATAAAAATATATACAAAAATATATCCAAAACATATATAAAAATATATATAAAAATATATATAAACATATATATAAAAATATATATAAAAATGTATATAAAAATATATATAACAATATATATAAAAATATATATAACAATATATATAAAAATATATATAAAAATTATATAAAAATATATATAAAAACATATAAAAATGTATATAAAAATATAAAAAAATATATATATAAAAATATGTATAAAAAAATATATATATAAAAATATGTATAAAAAAATCTATATAAAAAAATATATATAAAAAATTTATATAAAAAAATTTATATAAAAAAATTTATATAAAAAAATATATATCAAAAAATATCTAAAAAAATGTATGTAGAGAAGATCAAGCTAGTACCAGCCAAAGGCATTTATTGTACATACTTACATGTATTGATGTAACTGGCAAATCAATATAATTAAATAACTCATGATGATATTTAACGGACATGCAAGATGAGAAAAAGACCATGACCTTCTTCTTACGATTCTTCTTCAGAAAAGTAAACAGCACCAACAGACGTTTCTCAGATGGACAGACAATATAACCTTGCTCCAGGCCGCTAACTGTCGCCACATCTTTATTATCATCAACACCAACATATATTGGTTCTTTCTTCAAAGCCAGTCTGGACAGTGCATCAATTTGTGCCGTTTGTGTAGCAGAAAACAGCATCGTTTGACGTTTTTCTAAGTATTTAAATTAATTATATTATTTATAATGGGATAAACGCAATACAATTAAAGTGAATAGTAAATATTCTTACTTGGCAATAAATTAATAATTTGTTTTAGTTCTTCTTCAAACCCTATTTCTAGGATACGATCGACTTCATCAATAATTAGGCATTGCAAATTTTTATAAAGAAAATTTGGAGAATTTTGTAAATGATCCAATAAACGACCAGGTGTAGCAACCAGAATGTTAACACCTTTACCAAGCTTTTCGCTTTCTACATGACGATTGGAACCTCCCATTACCAAACCATAAGTGTGATGATGATGTGCCATTAATTCTTTAAGCACCCCAAATGTTTGCATAGATAATTCACGCGTTGGTGAAATTATAATAACGCCTGTGCCATTGCGTGGCATAAAACGCAATTTATAAATAAGCTCAACAGCGGGTATAAGAAAAGCTAATGTTTTCCCTGAGCCAGTTTGTGCGGCACCAACTAAATCTCGACCTCTTAACAAAGGAGGCAATGACTTTGATTGTATTTCAGTCATATCAGTAAAACCCATATCTAAAATTGCCTTCAATGTTGCTTCAGTTAGTATTCCTTTAAGTGAAGCAAATGAACGATCATTTGGATCACGTTGAGATAATAATTCTTCAAAACTAAGTGTACTTTTTTCATCATCTTCATTTGAATCTTTTACATCATTTGTGGTTTTATGTTTTCCAACTTGTGCTACATTATTTTGTTTGGGATTTTTGTTAACAACTGCTGTAGGTGCTTCATCATCTGAATCCGACATTTCACTGTCTTCATTTATGCTATCACCTAAAATTAAAGTTACGTTAACAAAAAATATAATTCAAGTTATATTTATAAAGCATTCTATATCTTCAGTTAAGTCACTCATAATTTCATACAATATCGTATTAAGCATTAACTCGCTTTAGATAACTCAAATTCGCCTTTGACTCATCATTAGTTAATGATTTATTTTAGTTTTTTTATTTGTAAAACTTACCATTTTGATTTGATTCATCGGAGTCTAATTCCGAGTCAGAGTTCACGACTTCTCTTTGTGATTGCTTTTTGCCTTTTTTTGATTTATTTATAGGCGATATATCTTGATTGACCTCTTCATCTATAATATATATTTATATAAACATTATTTTTTAAATGTTTTAGATAGATTATTAAAGAACATATGAACGTTACCTGCATCCACCGATTGTTGTATGTAATCAAAATTATTTGGCGGTTTCCCTTTTTTCTTAGCCAATTCTTTTTTCATTTGTTCACGCTTTTTTATTTTTTTCATTAAGACCCTTTCTCGTATCGATATCATTTTAAATACTTCTGTTTTTTATTTGATTAGTATAAAAAACAATTCAACTGCAACAATGCTGTATCGAACGCACGTGTTTGCTTCTTTTTGTACTAAAATTTGCCAAACAAGACAAATCGAACAACATTGCAAAACGTCAAACTTTTGTTTTCATTAATTTTATTTGTACTGTACAGAGTAGTACATTAATAGTACGCAATAATTGTTTATTTATTAAAAAAATTTTATACCGACAAATAATTAATGGTTTTAATTATTTTATAATTATTTATTATATCTTTATATTTTATTTAATATATAAATATGCGAAATTGTGATTTATTGTCATGCAAAAAAAAATTTATGCGGTGTATGCCAGACTATATTAATTTTATTTGTAAAAGTGGAATTAGTTTACTTTATTTTTATATATATATTTGGATTATTTTTTTAATTTAATAATTCAAAAACTAATTCTATTATATTATGTTTTGTATATAATATATTAAAAGTTTGCAGGTGTTAAATATGTGACTATTGAATGTTAATATGATAACTGAAATCAATTTAAAATTAATATGCATTTATTCTGAAAATTTGTGCTTATAAATTAAACACAAATTCCATATATTAAAGAGATGCAAATATTAAAATATTTATTTTAAAATGACCACATAGATTTTTACATGCACAGTACACGTATAAGTCTTATGTGTCAGAACCATAGAATATGTGTATTTTTTGTTCAGAACATTTATTTTACAGAAAATTGTTTGTATAAGTTGGCAACTCTACGTTTTATTTGACAGTTTAAATGTGAACAAAAACTTAAGGCGAGAAATATAAACAATTTTATTAACAAGAAAAGAAAATAAATATTAACTAAAATTGGCTAATTTTCGTACAAAGTTATTTTATAACACAAATTTAAAGTATGTATCTTTAATATGACACGTAAAATCATTCTAAATGCCGAAGCATTGTGGTAGATCTAGAATTATTTTCTATATATTTAAATTAATTTTTATTAAAAAATTTTTGTATTTAAATTATTGTCACTAATGTATATTTATTTCAAAAAAGGGCATATTACAGTTATTTTTTTCGTTTGGTTACTAATTGGTTAAAGTTTGAGTGTTCATTAAATATATTGGAAAAAAGCTGGTTACTTTAATAAATATTAATAAAATCAAAGAGTTAATTCCTGAATTCTGAATAAAAACAATTAATTAATTCTGAATAAAACAACGTTTCTGAATAAATCAAATTTACTAATAATCAAATAAAATTTCATTATAAAAATATGTATATATTTATTTTTTTAACAATAAAATAATACTAAACACATTTGTATAACAGAAAGTAAGTGTTTCTTTTAATAAACGAATAATAAATTAATAATGAAAAGTAAAAGGAAATACAAATAAGTTTCGTCGGATATCTAAGCTTGCTCAAATTACAGTAAACTTGTTTTCTTTTTTCAAAACTTGCTCATTAGATAGCGGGAAACCTAATATTTTGCTGCAATTTTCAACAACACGAGCAATTTAAGCCACTAGTTTGACAGGTGATCATTTGGGACACAGTAGCTTTGGTTCATAAGGCTGCAATTTTAACCTAACCAGACTTCTGGTATATTAGTTATCAGGTATCTTAGACTGTTTTCTTACTAGATTTATCCACTTATTGCGGTTTATTTGAGAACACACCATATTTTGCATCATATGACGCTCCTGCCAGTGATGAAATGCAGCACCAAATGTATTAATCTTAAAATTAATTATAAAAATCTATAAAATTAATGGAGATAATTTAATAATATAGTATATATTTTATAACATATATTTTTATTATTCCAGTCTAATAATATAAAATATATATACATATATAATATGTAAAGGAGTGTAATAACAAAATTTATCAATATCAATTTACAGTATTTTAGATTGACAATATTTTGAACATTCTTCTATGAATAAATTATATATAAAGTAGTGTTAAAATATTACTTCAGTCTATATGTTATATAATAAACATTGTACATAATTGTTGATGCATTGTAAATAATAAATTTTAATGAGGAAAATGTACATAAAACAGTGTAGAAATATTACTATAATTAAATTTTATTCTAAATATTACATTATAAATGATACATTTTTATGAAAAACAAGAATGTAGAAATATTATAAACAATTATTATTCTAAAAGTTGTATTTCTAATTTATATAAAACCCAATTTAAACATTTTGAAATAATAAAGCTTTATTTATAATATATAATATATATAATTTATACATTATTATTTAATATATTATGTAGTGGTTTACATCATTATTATATAAAATCTCAAAATTTTTAAATCTTAAGTGTAACGATGTATATATATATATATATATATATATATTCCCAATTAGTTAAATTAGTTACGATATAATTTGCACTAAATGTAATAATTATTATTTAAATTATTTTTTTTACATTATTTAACTATGCATTAAATTGTAGTACATATATGTTAAGTAAAGATAAATAATACTAATAAATTATAATTAATATTAACTATTTATTATTAACTAATTAATTATTAATTAATTTTAATGAAATTAATATTAATATTTATAAATAAGAACGTGGTAACATTAAAAAGTTAATTACGTTAATAAGCTTATTTTATAAGCTGATTTTTTATTTATTTATTTTTTAATTTCACCTTTTAGCTAAGGATCTATTAAAAATTAAATAAAATATATTATTTAAATCTTAAATATTAATTAATGTATTAAAAGCTGAGTACATTAATGTAATTTATGTTTATGCATTTATTTTAAATATAAGTTAAGTTAAATAAATTTTGATTATAGAAATTTTATATTAGATCTAATATAAATCTAATATATTATATTAGATTAAATTAATTTGAATTAATGAAAATTGAATTTAAATTAACTATGTATAGTGTATAGCTATATTATAACAATTAACTATATAAGAAAGTTAATTCTTTCTAATATATAATATATTAATATATTAGTTTAATATATTTTAATATTAATATATTAGATTCATATTAGATCTAATATGTTAGATGAAACTAATATTAATTTTACAACATAAACGGAGGATTGGAACACTTATAGGTACTTACAGTATCACTTTTAAATAATAAGAACTAGCCTATTCATCATAGATATGAATGGTACAAATATCTAAATTCATCTGCCATTATTCATACAAATAAAGTATGAAACATAACGTTATAGGCGAGCCTGCCATATTTTCTCAAGTAATTAATTAACGTAATTATATTTATAACTAAAAAACAATTTAACTAGTTACTCAATTTAATAATTTAACTAGTTAAAACTCATTAAAATATTTACTTTAGTTATCGACTATATATAAGCAAATAATTTAATATTTATACAAAATATATATTAATGCTGCAAAATTAATAACTAAATAATAATTTTGTAAAGTATTATATTTAATTAAATTTATTTCATTATTATTATTTTTTTTACATATTCATCACATTTATTTTTAGTTTATTAAAAAATAATTAAAAATTATTATTCTTAATTATTTTTAATTGCTAATTGCAACTTCTGACACTATATAGTGAAAGCCAATTATAGGTATATATAATTCAATTATTAAATTTTATTCCCGTAATAAATCACTAAAAAAACTTATAAAAGAAAGTATTTATTCTAAATTAAAAATGCTAAATATAAAATAAAATTATGCTTGAAACTTATTTGATATAAATTACAATTTTATTTCACTTCAACCTATTGACTAAGGAAATGAATTAATTTTATATACAAAATGTATATCATTTAAATTAATTTAAATTAATAAAAATTGAATTTTAATTAAATATGTATAGTTAATAGCTATATTATAACTATTAACTATATAAGAATTAATTCTTTTGTTGATTATACGAAACATTTAATGCATTTGAAAGTAATTAATTTAAGTAATTGTCTTAGTAAGTAATGACTTAAAGTAGTTATTATCTCAAACTAACTTAAAACTAATGGGAATATATATAAAAGCTACTTTAAACAATGTAGTAATTTAAAGTAATGTAGTACTTAATTATAGTAACTGTATTAGTAATATGTAAGTAATTAATGACTAAAAGTAGTTGTTATTTCAAACTAAATTAAAACTAATGGGAATATATATAAAGCTACTTTAAACAATGAAGTAAGTTACAGTAATCTAGTACTTAACTACAGTAATTGCATTAGTAAGTAATGAATGATAGTAATTAGAGTATCTAAAACTAACTTTAAACCAATGAGAACATGCATACACTACTAAAAAAAGTGTAGTAATTAAGGCAAACACAATATTTACATGCAAAATTACAATATTTACAATATATACAATGAAGTGTTACTATAGATGTTGAAACTAAAGTGATGACGTGATTGTTTTAATAGATGTTAAAACTAAGGTGATGATGTGATTGTTATAATACAGTTTACTGCCACTTAAGTGTTTCATTCTACAGTACTGTTATGACTTTTTAAATGTTTTGTGAAACTGAAAATGTAAAAAAATAAGCAATTTAAATTTTTATAATATAACTATAATATAAATACTAAGACACTATAACTATAAATATACTAAGACAATTCCTTTACCATAAATATTCACTATTTGTTAATACATAGATGTATTTAGGTAGAACCTAGTTCTCTAGAGACGCTAGTTCTCCTGTATCTCTCTTTTCGCTAGTTCTCTTGTATTGCTATACTTTAGAAAAAGTATATGTAAAAATATTCACCGGACTGATCTTTACTGTGAACCATATTTGTCGGTGTATTATATCAAGGGCCCGCTTATTTGTCACACCAGTATATAGCGCCCTTATTATTTCACTTTAGCGCCAATGGGCTCCCTAATCTTTTTTTACCTGTTATCTACCCCAATAGGTATATAAATAATTTATTTTGAAATTATTATTTACTTACGTTGTATAAAATTTAAATGTAGCCGAGCAAATCTGACACTTATGTGGACCATCATGTTGCTTGGCATGCAATTTGAGATGGACGTGCTGTATGAAGGATTTCTCGCACATATTACACACATATTTGCGATCATTGGTATGTACCT